AGAGTAAATGGTTTTCTTTCTGACTGACTACCCATGCATTGTAGTGTTCCTCAAGGCAGTGTCTTGGGACCACTCTTGTTCAACATATTTATCAGCTATCTCAAATGTTGTCATTTAGCTCTCCTTCCGACTCTAAGTAACTCCAAGTAATGACACCACAACCCAATGTAGTGTTTGAACATTCAAAGGTATGCTTAAAAGTGTCACTGTTTGGCGTTACCCATTAACAGCATCTGGTAATCGAGCCTACATGTGTACTTGCAGGGCTGATATTTCACATCAAAAGGAAAATATTTCAAATCAAACAGCTTTTTAAGCCAACTCGTGATATCCATGCCGAATAGAAAACATGGCCAGTAAAACAACTCATTTCCTGGGCAAATTGAGAGATGTTCATCACTAAGTAAAAGAACTCATTTGCTGAGAAAAGTGAATTATTTCAAGAAGAAAACAACTGCAATTTGAATTCGTAGCCTACATGTGCGAGCGTAAAGCCCTCCTACACGATTTTCGGAATCGCTTCGGTCAAAGGCTGTCAGTGCTATTATTAAGTTGNAGAGTAAATGGTTTTCTTTCTGACTGACTACCCATGCATTGTAGTGTTCCTCAAGGCAGTGTCTTGGGACGATATTTATCAATTATCTCAATGTTGTCATCTAGATCTCCTTCCGACTCTAAGTAACTCCAAGTAATGACACCACAACCCAATGTAGTATTTGAACATTCAAAGGTATGCATAAAAGTGCCACTGTTTGGCGTTACCCATTAACAGCGTCTGGTAATCGAGCCTACATATGTACTTGCAGGGCTGATATTTCACATCAAAAGGAAAATATTTCAAATCAAACGGCCTTTTAAGCCAACTCGTAATATCCAAGCCGAATAGAAAACATGGCCAGTAAAACAATTCATTTGCTGGGCAAATTGAGAGATGTTCATCACTAAGTAAAAGAACTCATTTGCTGAGAAAAGTGAATTATTTCCAGCAGAAAACAACTGTGATTTGAATTCGTAGCCTACATGTGCGAGCGTAAAGCCCTCCTACACGATTTTCGGAATCGCTTCGGTCAAAGGCTGTCAGTGCTATTATTAAGTTGTACTCAATAGCGTTTTGAAGATTTTACCTGACTGAGTACTCCGTTTATTCAAGAAGTGTATCGAGACCTAGTTTAGAACGGAATGAAATATTTTGGCCTGCTTTAACCTAATTATTCTCAACATTTCAGTAGTGCAGTAGTATCATCTGCCTAGTGCACTGTGACTATCGGCCTAATCGGATTTCATTTTAAAATAATAAAACCGACAATATTGAATTCTTACCTTAACTCCTTACAATTCAGGAAAAAACCCACTTCTTTCCAGTAGACAAGTTTTGAATGTTGCCATTAAAAGCGTTCAGACCTTCTTCAGGTTCTGCCACTTACAAGCAAATACCTGAATAGCAAAGAAAAAACTCTTTCATTTAGAACAACACAACATTTTCCGATTCCAGCATATCGTTTCTAGATACGAGTGGGAATTTTGTGGTCGGTTTTAAAATTTCGGGGCTATGTTTTGCGTATCGCTATTGAAGCAGCTAGTCATTTAACCCTCAGGTTCACAGAGGGGGACTGGAGGGGAGATTCAGTTTTAAAGACTTTCCAAGCGAGAAAATTTTTAGTAGCTGTTATTCATTCCTTGAACCATTTTGATGCGTCGACTGTTTCTTTAGGGCATTTGCGGATATTATCAGGCCAAAAGTGTTTTGACAAGCAGGTTAA